TCACTATACTTTACCTCTTTCTTTCTCCCTGTTCTTGGAAGTTCTGCCTTAATTTGTACAACCTCCTTTGTATGGCATATCTGATACATATCTTTAATTGATATAAATTTTCATTTTTAGTATTTTTTAACTTGCTTTACTGCCTGTGCTTAACAAGGCAATCTTTTTTACTTTTATCTTCACATTTTAAACACAGTTGAACAGAAAAAAGTTATTAACACACTTTTACAAGAAATTTCTTTTTCTTTCCTCAGAATGTCAGAATAGGTTCAGAAACTGAATATTGATTTTCCTTTTTAAGTTATGGAATAATGACATGAAAAGCTTCATATTTTCCATGTGGTAGGGAAAAGGATATAGATACAATTTTAATCTCATAAATACATGTGCACATGTATATGTGTTTGTGTATTTATAATCTATTAGTTATAATAGACTGAAGGGAACAGAATAACATGTTAATAACGATATTTTGAGTCACACGCTTACAGGTCATTTTTATTTTTTTCTACTTTTTGGTATTTTCCAGATTTTCTTCAGCGAAGTTTTAATGAATCTATTACTAGGATTAAGTTAAGTAATTTAAGATATGTTTTCTGCATTCTGAAATGCCTTAATGAAAGGCAGTGGTTTTTCTTTTTTGGAAAGAAATGGTGATTTTTAATCTTTTAAGAAATGGCAGTAACTTTTGCTTTTAGCTTAGCCCTTATATTTTACCTACTGAAATGTAGTCAATTTGTAGATGTAACATTTGTGGTCATCTGAAAGTCTGGCAGCATATCTTAGTGGTTAAGTGTCTAGGATCTGGAGTTAAAAGACCCATGTTCAAATCCTGATTTCTGTTTGCTAGCAAGTAAATTTCTTAAGTTCTCTTAAGCCTCAATTTCTTTATAAATGAAATATATAAATTGTTTAGTAAAATGAAGTAATAATACTACCTCATAGCATTGTAAAGCTTAAATGAAATTACTCATACAGAGCTAAAACTTAGTTCAATGTCTGGCACATGGTAAACATGCCATAAATATTAGTGTTTTTTTTTTCTTTTCCCTGACTCTTTCTGGAAATCTAGGACCTCTCCCTTCTTCCTTCAAACCTAACAAAACATTGTTGTGAATTACAGGATTTTTTGAAATCAAGGATAAACATGATCCAAGACTTCGATATTCAACAGCCATTCCCTGTCCATAGGAATTTCCTACTGGTTATATTGGTTTCTATGCCCTGTATCACTGTATGTGTGGCTGGGCCTGTCTCTACAAACCAATGTGGTCTGCAGTGTGGTTTCCCAAGTGTGGTCTATAAGATGATTTTCGATGACACAGAGACACCCCTTTTAATTTTTTAAATCTATTTTTATGGGTGAGCAAAAAACACAACTAGCACATTAAGTCAGTGATTACATGAATATTTTTTAGAGTAAGGTAAAAATGAGTATTGAAGAAAAATGCAAATTATTGTAAAGAAAAATATTAGGATATAGCACTCTAAAGTATGCAAAAATTGCAAAGATGGTACTTGAAAGGCTGAAGTTTAGGATTCTGCTCTAGAGGCTCCTTCCCATGTCTGTGTCCAGGATGCTCATACGTTATCCCAGAAGCTCAGTAGAACAGGTGAAATCTGTCTTTTACCTAAATCCCTGTCATCTACAATATGCCTCGGGATCTCACCTTTTATTTTTTTAATCTTCCTTCCTTTCTTTCTTTTTTTAAAAACTAAATGACCTCCATATATTTCTAAACAAAGAAATAGGAAATCTGCCATCCTCCTAGGGCAATTAGCTCAACAGCAACCAGCTTTAAAGTTTTTAAAGTTTAGAAAAATATACTGTTATATCTACAGTCTTTAAATCCATAGATTGTTGACCATTACTACCTTCCTGAATTCAAATCTGTGTTTCAATTAAATATAATATTGTTTAGTATTAAATAAAACAACTATGTACTCCTTTGCTTAATAATACTCATTGAGTCCACCAATGTCAATTATTTTTGTTGTATTAGTACTTATTGAACCTATACATATATTGTATTAAATGTTTTTGTTACCAAGTTAATTTTTAAATGTAAATTAGATCCTAAAATTTTGACACTTGAGCAGGTACTTAAATTTGCTGTATTCACTAGGATGGAAATTTTTTTGCTATGATAAATAGAGTTGTCTTTACAAATATTGCATGAAAGCATATTAGTATAAGTAAGTGTACAGTTTGTACATAATTCCTTACTCAGTGGGAGGCATAAATTCCATTCCCAATTCATAAAAATTGAGCAAGTAATATTTATTCCAAAAAAAGGGAGTAGTTTTACAGTAATTTATTGAGGAAATAAACATATCTGATTACAAAGAATTTATTTAATAAGCTAATAGCTTTATTTTATATTACTAAAGATGTATACTTTAAAAAAAAAATCTTTATTTCACCTATTTCTAAACAAAGGTTTATTCAGTGATTGTCCTGAAATTAAACTAGCTAATTAATTACTCTTCCTGTGTTTCCATACACACATGCATACACACAAACAAATAGGTATAACTTTTGGTTTTTTAAATCCTTGGGAGACCTTACATGAAGTTGATAGACCTAAGAGTAGGAATAGAAAGTTAACTTTTTGTTGCAGATATGCCTGTAATATATATGCATTTAGTACTGCTACTGAGAACTATAGACCTGTCTATCCTCTTCCCATGTGCTAAACTTTATTGATTACATTTAAAAACTTATAGACCACACATGTACTTTGAGGATCCCATGTATTTGCATTTTTATTTTAGACAATAGTTTTCCTCTCTATAACTGTTACTCCAAAAAGTCATTCTTACATTTCAGTAATTAGATAAGGACTATTTGAAGACATAGGTATTTGACTAACACATTTTGAAAATTGTCATATAAGCATACTTTAATGATGCTAAATTATAAATACTAAATTTATAGTAATTTGTTATGATGTATTTATATGTGAATGTAAATAGCGTTTTAGTAAAAATACATGTACATATATTGAGCCTCTACTATGAGAGAAATGCAGTTGTCATTGTTGTATGCTCTTTGTACCCTAATCCTTGTTCCTACAACTTTTACTATCAGTCCTTTGTCCTACTGTAAATTTACTGGATAAGATAAGCAAAAGGTAACTCCTCTTTGTAGAACTTGGGGAACCTCTGCATTAGGATGAAATCAGCCTAATTAAATGACCTCATAATGAAATGCAGAACTTCCTGACCACATACTTAAGGTTTATTAGCCGTTAATGGATTGTCTATGAACTCTCAGCCTTTCACTTAATATTACTAAGATGGAAGAAATAAAACCAGCCATTGAGTCTTCTCAGGCTTTCCTTTTATGTCTTTCTTTCTCCTGTATAGTCACTCCCAGGAGTTTCCTGTCCACACTTAAAGGAATTTATAGTTAATAGAATCTCAGGTAGTGTAGGAGAGAGATTTGTAGGCATCAAGTTTGATTTATTTAATTATGTAAGTCAGTATATTTAGCATAGTGTAAGACTGGCTTAGGAGTGGTAAGAGAAAGGACTATTTTGTAAGGTCCAAATTTCTCTCCCTGGCTGGTCTGATCACTGTTAAGCCATGCTGCTCCCTTTATCATTCCTCGCTGATGACTTCTCTGTCTCAGCTCACATTCCCCGGAGTAGGCAGGCACACTTGTTAAATAGTAGGAAGTAGAAAGCCTACCTGGTTTCCCCAGGCTCAAAGTTTCAATGAGAAAGAAACATGTTTTGAAGCAACCATTTTGACAAAGCTGTTTTGAAAGATATAATGAAGACTTTCTGAAAACAGAAGAAAATAACAAATAGTTTTATGCCTTCTGTATAAACTTAAAATATGCACTAATCAGCTTTTATTGAGAGATATAAGCAATAGGCATTCTCATTACATTCTTGAATTCTCACCAACTTTTATTTTACTGTTCTCTCTGCTTTCATGTTTCTGCATTGCTGCTATTCCACTCCAGATATTTATCTCTCATCTGAAGAACCATAGACTTTGAAATTAAGATAAAAGATCAAAGGAAGACAAAACAGCAGCAGTTGGTCTCTCAATGTGGCTCTAACAGTAACATATGAACTTAGAAGCTTGTAAGTGCTCACCTTCAGTCTACCGTAGCCATAACCAAACCAATGACCAGTTTTGTTATTCTTCTTTTAAATTCCCTAAAGAGCCAGTGATTAACATGGGCCACAGAATTCAACCCATGGCTTGGTTTCCTTGGGTTTGCCAGTGTATTAGGGACAGGGTGGTTGCAGGGTCTTGTGGTTCGTTACATACTTGGTAACAGCCATGAATATCGATTTTCTTGGGTGATTGCAGCAGCCATTGCTACTTGTAAGATATCCATGTAAGTCAGAAGGAGTTGAACTTGCTGTTGATTATTAAAATATTTTTTATTGGCCATTAGTGCTCTATAGGATTAATTTTTTTTGCTCTTTTTCTGTACATTAAATCTAGATTTATTTATTTATTTATTTTTTGAGATGGAGTCTCACTCTGTAGCCCAAGCTGGAGTGCAGTGGCGCGATCTCGGTTCACTGAAGCCTCTGCCTCCCGGGCTCAAGCAATTCTCGTGCTTCAGCCTCCTGAGTAGAGTAGCTGGGACTACAGGTGTGTGCCACCATGCCTGGCTAATTTTTTGTATTTTAGTAGAGATGGGGTTTCACCATGTTGCCGAGGTTGATCTCGAACTCCTGAGCTCGGGGGATCCCCCTGGCTTGGCCTCCCAAATTGCTGGGATTACAGGCGTGAGCCACTGCAGCTGGCCTACCATTAATTTTTGCACGCTGTGGTAAGTAATTATAAATTTTTGCAGTAGTTTAGAATTTGCCTTTTGTAATATACCTAATTCAAAATGAAATCTATTCTCTTTTTCCTGTTAATTTAATTCTTCAACCATATAAGGGGTTGTGCAATATTAAAAGATTAATTGTAGTGACTACTGTATCATAGGTTCATTTAAAAATGTATTAATGACTTTTGTCTTGTAGGACAAACTATTCGAGAGAAGAGAATTGTAGAAGGAGCAAATAAAAAAGAAGTAGACTATGAAATAGGGGATATTCCAACAGAATGGGAAGGTAAGTTTCTGCTTTTAGTGGAATCTCCTGGGAGGTAAATTGTATAACAATATACAAACTCAATAAGAGCATATATAATTATATACTGTTTCTCTTTGCAAAAAAGTTTTAGTCTCTGAATGTTTGAAACTGTTTTTTTAACATTGCATTTCTTTGGAAGTTGTAAAGGTGCCGAATTTTAGTAAGCAGATGCATGTATAGCAAAAAGAACTATTAAGCATTAGTAGAGCTGGGACTAAGGTGAGGCAAGCCAAAATCCTAAGATGCAGAATTTAAGCAGGCACTGACTTTCATGTAGTGACCCAGCACTTGCACAGTCTTAGGATTTGAATCCTGTTTCTGGCACTCACTACACACATGAACTTGCAAAGTAATTTAAACTTTTAATTTTTTCTTTTATAAATTATGCATGATACTTGCTGCAGATACCATTTGGAGTATTTTTTCAACTCACAATAACTCTATGTTAACTGACCGCCTGTTAAGACAAGGATGGATGCTTGATCTCTTTCCTAAGACTTTGAATTTAAAATAAAAGATCAAAGGGAGACAAACAGCAGCAGTTGATCTCTCGGTGTGGGTGTAACAGTAACATATGAACTTAGTACCTTGTAAGTGGTCACCTTCAGTCTACCATCAAAGTTTTATTGCATAAAAAAGCTAACTGATTTTAGAAAAGGTGATATTGCAGAAAAAGCTGATTTACTGAGAAGAAAATGGAAACTAGTTCACAATGAGAAGTACATAGACAGAATATTTCCTAGTTTTCCAACAGCTTTCTGGTTCCCAGTTCAGTTTCTCTCTGAGTGAAGTTCAGCTGCAAGACTGAGTTCAAAATGGCACCTGATAACCATGTTATGTATTTCCGTTTTTTTGCTTACCAGTTCCTAGCATAGTGCCTGGCACATCGTAAGGCACCTAGTAGGTACTTAATCAGTATGTATTGAATACATGAAATCTAGCTTGAGTTAGCTTTTGGTATGTGCAACTAAAAGAGCCTTAACTGAAACCTCAATACCTTTATTGTATATATCGCTTAACACATATCAAGTATTTACCTGTATGCCTGATATTATATCATTACTTTACCATCACTGTGTTTAATTATCACAAAATCCCATAAGGTAGACACTGTAATTAACCCAGTGTATTAGGTCATTTTCACACTGCTATAAAGAAATACCCGAGGCCAGGAGTGGTGGCTCACGCCTGTAATCCCAGCACTTTGGGAGGCCGAAGCGGGAAGATCATCTGAGGTCAGGAGTTCGAGACCAGCCTGGCTAACATGGTGAAACCCCGTTTCTACTGAAAATACAAAAAATTAGGCCAGGTGTGGTGGCTCACATCTGTAATCTCAGCACTTTGAGAGGACAAGGCACACGGATCATGAGGTCAAGAGATCAAGACCATCCTGGCCAACATGGTGAAACCCTGTCTCTACTAAAGATACAAAATTAGCTGGGCATGGTGGCACGTGCCTGTAGTCCCAGCTACTCGGGAGGCTGAGGCAGGAGAATCACTTGAACCTGGGAAGCAGAGGTTGCAATGAGCTGAAATCACGCCACTGCACTCCAGCCTGGTGACAGAGCGAGACTCCATCTCAGAAAAAAAACAAAAAATTCAAAAAATTAGCCAGGTGTGGTTACACAGGCCTGTAATCCCAGCTACTCAGGAGGATGAGGCAGGAGAATTGCCTGGACCTGAGAGGTGGAGGTTGCAGTGAACTGAGATTGCGCCATTGCACTCTGGCTTGGGCAACAAGAGCAAAACTCTGTCTCAAAAAAAAAAAAAAAAAGAAAGAAATACCTGAAACTGGGTAATTTATAAAGGAAAAAGGCTTAATTGGCTCACAGTTCTGCATGGCTGGGGAGGCCTCAGGAAACTTACAATCATGGCAGAAGGCAAAGGGGAGGCAAGCACCTTCTTTGCGTGGCAGCGGGAGAGACAATAATGAAGGAGGAACTTCCAAATACTTACAAAGCCATCAGATCTCATGAGAACTCACTCACTTCACAAGAACAGCATGGGGGAAACCGCCCCCATGATCTAATCACGTCCCTCCTTCGACACGTGTCACGTCCCTCCTTCGACACGTGAGGATTACAATTAGAAATGAGATTTGAGTAGGGACACAGAGCCAAACCATATCACCCATTTAATAGATGGAGCACGTAAGGCCTAAAAAGATTAGTTAATTTGCCTGGGTTATATAGCTTCATACACAGGTAAACAGCAGGCTCATTGCTTCTTGTTTGGCATAGTATGATATCTTACATGTGTTAGCTATAGGCATTATGTTACTTTTATGCCAGCATGTGAATGTAAACATCATTTCAGTAAAAATATTTTTCCATTTCTGCTTACTAGCTATGAAGATACTAGAACTATGATTTTAAAAAACCACAAAAATAAGTAGATACCAAAGGTTTTTTGAAGAAATACAGAATATAAATTGGCAACTTCTAGGAGGGGTAATTGAGCTTCCTTATTTTAGCAGACTCTCCAGTGTTATAAACTACATTTACAATTCTTGGATAATGCATACACCTTCTTAGAGTTAGTTTGTTTTTATCATTTTTTCCAATAATAGTATAGAATTAAGATGTTTATAGAAATAAGTTATAAATAAATGAGTAGGTAATGATTCATTTTTCAGCCTTTGAGACTTTCAGAGAGTTTGAATGAAGTTCTAATCTGTTTATGGCTGTCCTGATCTAGTAATTCGGCATAACTCTCCCACGGGACATATGTTTAAAACAAATGTATCAATCAAACACTAAACAAAAATTATTTTTATGGTGGTACACATCAATTAAATGTGAAAAATAATAGCTCAACACCATGAAAAAGTAAATTAAGTATTTTCGGGTTCAGATGAATATTATAGTTATCAATTATTAGAAACAGAATACTGGGACCTGCATGTTGCATATTCTCCCACAGTGTAGATTAAACAATGTGCCCTTTTTCTTCATTTATTTAGTAGGTATCTATTAAGGACCTCTACATTCATAGAGCTTATGTTCTAAGGTGGGAGAAAGACAATACACCGGATAAATAACTGTACTATATTGTATGTTAATGGCCCCAGATAATAAAGCAGGGAAAGGGCATAGGGAGTGTTGGGGAAAGTTTTGCAATTTTTTGGTTTGTTTGTTTGTTTGTTTTGTTTTTTGAGACGGAGCCTCGCTCTGTCGCCCAGGCTGGAGTGCAGTGGCGCGATCTCAGCTCACTGCAAGCTCCGCCTCCCGGGTTCACGCCATTCTCCTGCCTCAGCCTCCCGAGTAGCTGGGACTACAGGTGCCTACCACCACACCTGACTAATTGTGTTTCTGTATTTTTTAGTAGAGTCGGGGTTTCACTGTGTTAGCCAGGATGGTCTCCATCTCCTGACTTCATAATCTGCCTGCCTCGGCCTCCCAAAGGGCTGGGATTACAGGCGTGAGCCACGGCGCCCAGCCGTTTTGCAGTTTTAAATAGTGTTCAGAAAAGACTTTACTGCGATGACTTCCGAATAAAAACAGAAGGAGCTAGTCATGCAGCTAACTAGCTGAGGAGCAATACTGGAGAGCAAGTACAAAAGCCCTGAGGCAGGAACATGCTCAGATGTTTAAAAGAACAGCAAGGAAGCCAGTGTGATTGGGATAGAAGGAGAGAGAAATTAATAGATAAGGTTAGAGAGTTAACAGGATTGTCTATCTGTGGGGCCTTGTAGGCCATTTTAAAGACTCTGGCTTTTACTCTTAGTGAGACTGGAAGCCATTGTAGGGTTTTGAAAAGAGTAGTCATATGTTCTGCAGTATATTTAACAGGATCACTATGGCAGCTGCATTGCAAATAGACTTAGGGGAACATAGGCAAAATATGGAGTCAGAAAGTTCTTGTCATAATTTAGGCAAGAGTTTAATTGTGACTTGGGCCAGAGTAACAGTGGGAATGGAAAGAAGAAGTTGCATTCCGGATCTATGGTAAAAGTGGGACCAACAGGATTTGATGACATACTGGATATGGAACATGAGAGGAAAGCAGACAGTAATTACTCTCAAGCTGTTTTGTCCTCACCTGGAAAAAGGAGTTGCTGTTAACTGCCGTGTGCAGGACTGTGAAAGGAGCAAGTTAGGGGTGGAAAAATGAAATCAATTTTGGACATGCTAAGTTTGAGATGCCTATTAGACATCCAAGTAGAGATGTTAAATTGTATATGAGCCACGAATTTAGTGGACATATCTGTACTAGAGATATAATTTGGGAGTTGTCAGCAAATAAATGGTATATAAAGCAATGAGACTGAAGAGATCACACACAGAATGAGTGTAAATACAAAATGGGAAATTCAAACAGTGACCCTTAGGCTGCTCCAAAGTTTAGAGACAACGGAGACCAAAAAGGAGCTGCCAGAAAAGTAGGGAAAAAAAAGAAACGTGTCATGTACTAGAAGCCAAATAGCAAAGAGGAAGAAGTAATCAAAATGTCAAATGAGGACTGAAAATTAACTCTGCTTTAAGAACAGGGACGTCTGACAAAAATAGTTCTGTAGAGTGGTAGGAGCAAATGCATGATAGGAAAAAAAGTATAGCAAGGGAGGGTTTGGAGAGACTGAGAATAGGCAGTGTTTCTGTAAAGAAAAGGAGAATGATGAAGCAGTAGTTGGAGAGGAAAATGGAGTCAATAAATATTTTCTTTTGTTTTAAAGACAGAAGAGAATTTTGTAATAGTGATGGGAAACATCCAGTCAGAAAGAAAAATTACAGGAAAGAGGAAGTCCTTGAGAAGACAAGATGAGGCAGGATCTAGTAAACAGGTGGAAGAATTGGCCTTTGAACAAAAGGAAAAGTCATCAATAGTAATAGCAGAAAAAGAGTCTGGGCATATATGCAGGTAGATGGGTAGATGTGTAGTGAGAAATTGTGTAAATTCTCTTCTAATTCTTCCTAATGAAGAAGAGTGATTTAAGTAACTTCCTAAGTATCAATAGCAACTAGAACTCAGATTTGAACCCA